TGTCCTGCTGGTGTTGGCTCTGGCCCCGGCCGGCTGGCAGCTCCTGAGCCGGTGGGTGGCGGGGATGCCCCCAGACGGGATGACACCCTGAGATGGGGCGACACCCCCGGATGGGAATGACATTCTCTGGCAGGACAACACCCCCAGACGGGATGACACTCCCAGATGGGCCCAAAACCCCTAGACAGGGATGATACCCTCGACGGGGACGACACCCCCAGACGGGAGGTGACAACACAGGCTGCAGGTGATGCCACCGTGACCAAGTCTCAGCCCTCAGCACTGGTGCACATGCATCCACCATGTACACATGCAGGCACACACGTGCACAGATGCACGTGCAGACATAGCTGTCGTGTGCACATGCCCACACATGCATGCATGCCCATACCAACATACACACATGCCTACTGTATACAAGTGCACACGTGCATCCCCACACTGACATGCACACACATACATGTACACAAATACACACATACCCACACTGACAAACACACATGTATGTCCCCAGATGGGATAACACCCCCAGAAGGGATACACATAAGCACAGAGATACATGCACGCATGCATGGGCACAGATACACACGTGAATACACCCCCATACACACACATGCACGTACACAAATGCATGCATGCACACACACATACCCACACTGACACACTGACATACACACATGTGTGCAAATACACATACATGCACATGCACTTATGCATGCGGACACACATAGATACACAGACATGCACACACACCAAGATACATGCCACGTGTATACAACCTGCCTGCACACACAGGTACACTTTCACATACGGGCATATACACTCATACATGTATACATACATGCATGCATATACACAAAAATGCAGTCGCACATAAACACACACACACACACACACGTGCGCACCCACACACACCCCGCAGCCCTCCCTGGCCTCCCCAGTGGGCCCGGCTTTTTCCCCAGCCCTCCCGGGGTGTCTTGTCCAGAGCCCCAGTGTCCCCTCGCACGCCCTCAGGTGGGGTCCTGGCCCCCGGGCCGGGGCTGGGCGACACCCCCGCCTCCCAGGAACGCAGGCTGCAGCCGCCCTCGCTCCCTGCCTGGTCTATATTTAGGGCTGAGTGACGGGTATTTTGAGCCCAGCCGGGCGGGGTCCCCATGCAGGGTCTCGGTGGCCGCTTTGAAGCTCCCTTGACTCAGCGCCCAGAGCCACGTGGGCCTCGCTGCCACTGAGAGGAGGGCGGAGCGTCTGCGGGGAGCAGCCTGCGGCCGGGCGTTGGGCCAGAGGGACGTTTTGACTGCGATCACCGGACACTCACGGCCCGGTGTGAGAAGGAGCAGGGCTGTCTGTGTGTGCGCCGCAGCCTTCCCGGGAGTAACGGTCTGTGAAACGACCGCAGTGCCGCACCCAGAGGTGACACGCTCCCCCCGCCTCACTCCGAGTCCTACGTGTGTGTACGTTCCCTTCTAGCGTATCACTGTGTGTGTTTTGCGTATTGTCACTGGCGTTGACACACAGCAAGAATCCTTCCTGGCCAGGTGCGGTGGCTGGTGCCTGTCATCCCAGCGCTTTGGGAGGCTGAGGCAGGAGGGTCACTTGAGGCCAGGAGTTTGAGCCCAGCCTGGGCAATGTAGTGAGACCTCGTCTCTACAAAAAGCAAAACATGAGCCAGGGCCGGGCTCAGTGGCTCAGCGGCTCAGCCTGTCATCCCAGCACTTTGGGAGGCCGAGGCAGGTGGATCGCCCGAGCCCGTGGGTTCGAGACCCGCCTGGGCAACTTGGTGAGGCCTCATCTCCACAATAAATCAAAAAATCAGCCGGGCGTGGTAGCGCGCGCCTGTAATTCCGGCTACTCAGAAGGTGGAATTGCCTGAGCCTCCACCCCGGCCCTGATATTTCTCCCCGTGGCTGTTGACCTCTGCAAAACAGACAGCGGTTTCACGTGTTATGACGGACACAGAGCACCGCTTAATTACCTGGTTAAGTGTCTGCCCGGCTGGACTGCGGCTTCCCAGGGCTCCTGAACTTGGCGTCTGCCCCTGTGCCCCTGTCGGCACCAACCCCCATCCTGGGCCCTACAAACAGAGTCCCTCAAGGTGGGCGCTGTGGACATCAGGGCCAGACAGTTCTCTGGGGGCCGTCCCAGGCCCTGCGGGGTGTGAGCAGCGTCCCCGGCCTCTGCCCCCTCCACATGTCCCCAGACCCAGGGCGTCTCACCAGGGGTGGTTTTGTCCCCGGGAGACACGGGGAGACGTTGGGGGACTTGTGTGGGCGTCACGACGGGGAGAGCTCCTGGCGTGGAGGGGTGGGGAGTGGAGGCCGGGGCTCGGCTCACACCCTGCAGGGCCTGGGACGCCCCCCCAGAGAATGGCCCGGCCCCACCGGGGACCCCGGGGCCCCTTTTGGAGCCACTGCCGCGGCTTCCTGATCGCTCCAGGGAACCTTTCGTGCCGTGCCCAGGGAGCCTCAGCCCGGGTCCCCACCCCAGCCTGGGGGCTGCAGACCCAGACAGCAGGGCCCATCCCCAGGGGTGGCCCCGGAGGCATCCCGGAGGCGGCATCGGCCTCCCTGGCGGCTCACGCCTCCACCTCCTCACAGCTCTCTGGACGCCGTGGAGCTGATGGCAGAGGATGTCGGCCACCAACAACATCGCCCAGGTCCGCAAGCTGGTGGAGCAGCTGCGTATGGAGGCCGGGGTGGAGCGCATCAAGGTGAGCGGGGTCCACGGGGGGCGCCCACAGGGGGGAGTCCCATGGGTAGGGGGTGGGGGAGGGGGAAGAGAGGGTCCCATGGACGGGGGCACAGCCCAAGACCTAAGGCCGTCGGGAGGCAGAGTTCCTCCTCCTGGTAGGACATCGGTCTTCTGTCTTAAGGCCTTCACCTGATTAGATGAGGCCCACCACATCGTGGGGGTCACCTGCTGTACCCAGAGTCCTCTGACTTTGGTGTGAACCCCATGTAAAAAAATGCCTTGTGGCGACATCTAGAATAACGTTCAGCCAAACCACCAGGCACCGTGGCCGGGCCCAGCCCAGCGGACCTGTAAAGTCAGCCATCCTCACCCCACGAATTCACTCCGACTTCAGTGCTCAAGCACCGTTTCCGGTCCCGGGACAATTTATTGGGAAGGCGTGGCAGCTCCCCGGGTTGCAGTCAGACTCACCCCTGCTGGCCAGGTGGTGGAGGGAGTTGGAAAAGGGTTTTATTTGCTTGTTTATTTATTGAGTTATTGTCTCAGGGTCTGGCTCTGTTGCCCAGGTTGGAAGGCAGTGGCGTGATCGCGGCTCACCGCAGCCTCGAACTCCTGGGCTCAAGTGATCCTCCCACCTCAGCCTCCTGAGTAGCTGGGACTCCAGGTGCCACCACCACGCCCGGCTCATTTTTTTTCATTTTTAGAATAGATGGGGTCTTGCAGTGTTGCCCAGGCTGGCCTCAAACTCCAGGCCTCAAGCGATCTTCCCGCCTCGGCCTCCTAGAGCGCGGGAATAACAGGCATGAGCCACCGCAGCCAGCCTTGGAGAAGCTTCTGATCGGTCCCCAGGACTCCCTCCAGCCCAGCTTCAAAGCTCTTTGACCCCTTCACACTGACAACCAGGGTCTGCCAGGGAGGGGTGAGGGCCTCGGAAGGTTCCAGAAGCCTCGCTGCCGAGGACAGACCTGAGCAATCTAAGCGTTCCTCTGGGCTGGGGCCAGAGCGCCCTGGTGGAAGCGGTTTCCCTCTGCGAGCCGTGCCAGTCCCGGCTTCCTGTCCCTTTGATGGGGGGAGGGCCCCCGCCGCCCTTTGAAAGTCAGGCGGCAGAGCCGGGCTCGGTGCCTCAGCCTGTGATCCCGCGCTTTGGGAGCCTGAGGCGAGTGGATCGCCTGAGCCCGCGGGTTCGAGACCCGCCTGGGCAGCGTGGTGAGACCTCATCTCTACAATAAATCAAAATTCAGCCGGGCGTGGTAGTGCGCACCTGCAATTCCGGCTACTCGGAAGGCCGAGGCGGAAGGATCGGCGGAGCCCGGCAGGTCGAGGCTGCGGTGGCCGGGAGCGGCCGCTGCCCTCCAGTCTGGGCGACCAAGTGAGACTCCAGCTCAAAAAAAAAAAAGAAAAAAGTCAGGCCACAGGGGAGCTCTGGACTCCCCGGTGGGCACAGGGCGGCCCGGCGTTCAGGGAGCGAGCCTTTCTCCGCCCGCAGGGGCCACGGCAGGAGCCCCCGGCCCACGTTCCCCAGGGCCAAAGGCTGTTTCTGTCATCCTCGGGGGCGGCTTCCCGGACAGAAGTGATCAGAGGCAGCGGCTGCAGGTTCCCATGGGGGCCATCTGCTCTGTCTGGGGGCAGGTGCGACCCCCAGCCGGGCAGGACCCTGAGCCACCAGCCACCCAGGGGACCAGGTCCAGGGGAGGAGGGGGAACCCACGTGCAGAGGCACTTCCGTGGAGGCTGGGGTGGGAGAGTCGTTGAGGCCAGGAGTTCGAGACCAGCCTGGGCAGCATAACAAGACCCCCTCTCTCAAAAATAAAAAACCAATAAATTAGCCAGGCTCGGTGGTGCCTAGCATCCCAGCTACTCGGGAGGCCGAGGCAGGAGGGTCACCTGAGCCCAAGAGTTCAAGACCAACCTGGGCAGTATAGTGAGACCTCATCGCTGCAAAAAATTTTCGAAATCAGGCCATGGGCCAAGCATGGTGGCTCATGCCTGTCATCCCAACACTTTGGGAGGCTGAGGCAGGAAGACCTCTTGAACCAGGAGTTCAAAACCAGCCTTGGCCACATAGACCTCGTCTCTAGAAAAAATGCAAGAATTAGTTAGGTGTGGTGGTGCCTGTACTCCCAGCTACTGGGGAGGCTGAGGAGGGAGGATGGCCTGAGCCCAGGGAGTGGAGGCTGCAGTGAGCTTTGACCATGCCCCTGCACTCCAGCCGGGGCCACAGAGCAAGACCCTGACTCTAAAAACAAAAAACCATTGTCAAAGGCCCCCGCCGGGACAGTGACGTCACACGCCTTCCAGGTCACCCCGTCACCCCGCACGTCTAAGCCGGCCGGCGCCACTCACCACCCAGGACGACAGGGTGAGACTCCAACTCAAAAAAAAAATTGTAAAAGCCTTTGGGAGGCTGAGGTGAGTGGATGGCCTGAGCCCGCGGGTTCGAGACCTGCCTGGGCAGCGAGACCTCATCTCTACAATCAATCAAAAAATCAGCCGGGCGTGGTAGCGCATGCCTGTAATTCGGCTACTCGGAAGGCTGAGGCGGAAGGATCGCCGGAGCCCAGCGGGTTGAGGCTGTGGTGGCTGGGAACAGCCACTGCCCTCCAGTCTGGGCGACAGAGTGAGACTCCAACTCAAAAAAAAAAAGAGGGAAAATGTGCCATTAGTGATAGTTAATCCATTTACCATGCCGCACGACCATCAACTCCATCCAATTCCAGAACATTCCACCACCTCCAAAAGGAAGCCCCGTTCCCATCTGCTGTCACTCCCCACCCTCCCCCCGCCCCCGGCTCCCACAGATCCCCGTCCTGTGTCCGTGAACTGGCCTGTCTGGACACGCCGTAGAAGTGCAGTCACACCCCGTGTGTCCCTCTGCGTCTGGGCCTCCTGGAGCGTGACACCCTCAAGGTCCCTCCACGCCACGGCCTGTGCTGGAGTCTCCTTCCTGTTCGCTGCTCGTGGCCGAGTCATGTTCCTCGCATGCGTGGGCCACGCCGT